AAGTACTGCGAGGAAGCTTAACCCTCTCGCTGCTTGGAGGGTTAGAGGCGCAGGGAGTGCCCTCCTGAGGGCGCGCCGGGGCGTGGGGGGTTCCAGGTGTGCAGACTTCTTTGGGATGGGCTGTTGGGGTGGGCTGGAGTCAGCCCTCTAGCTCCTCAGATGAGCGCTCCTACCCGACATTTCTCAAGGCATCCTCCTGGGGCTTTCTTAATTATTCCGTTTACCTTCCCAGCATCTGGCTAGTGTCAGCGCTATGGCCTCAGTTTCCCCGCTTATGCAATAGGGTGGGGGTTCTTCTTGTCAGCTTCCCTGTCAGTCTGGTGACCCTGATTTCGTTACCCCCTCTCTGACTTGATCCCTGGGCCTGGGCAGGGGTGAGCGGGTTAGGGCAGCGGGGTGCAGGAGTCAGAACCTGACCCTCCTTGTCTCCCGCCAGCGCTCGCTCTGGGCGCTCTTCATCAAAATGGCCGGGTTCCTGTTTTTGCCTCTGAAGGCAGAAATGTCACCGCCGCTGCATTAAGCACGCTCGGCGGGAACTCGGTTTGGAGCGAGGAGCTGGCTCTCAGCCCTGCCAAGCTGCCTGCTGCAGGGGGTGGGGATGGGCTGGCTGGGGTCAGCCTTTGTCTGCGAGGGGCTCCCACCTTCCTGTTGCTCTAGCTTGACATGGCCCACTCCCCTAAACTGTGCTGGTTGCTTCCACCCTACTCAAGTTTGGGGGCAGGGCTGGGGGAATCGAAGGGGAGGATCTGTTCAGACTCCTGTGGCCCGCTGGCTCAGGGATAGTAGGGAGGTGATTGGGCAGAACTCATTTCCTTCTCCCCACCCCCATAATTGGCAACACCTTTGGAATTCAAGGATCATCTCCAGGTAATGTTGCCCATTTGGTGAGGAAGGGGTGGTACCCAGACCTCAGGGCATGCTCAGCCTTCTGACCTGAAGTTTCCTCAGCAGGGCTTGGGGGAGAGGGTGTATTCCACCTTTTCCTAGCTTCTTTCTGGCCAAGGGATCCCACCACCCCAGGAATTCTCAAATCCTGGTGCACAGCAGACCACTCACTTGTCCTTGTGAGCATGCAGATGTGAGGAGGAGGGGGTGGGCCAGTGTGGAGAGTCTGATTTAGTGGGACTGGAGTGGTCCTGTAATCTGCACCTCTCATGAGACCTGGGGGAAGGCCCCTGCGCCCCTGCCCTCACTGAGCAGCATGCTGGAAGTACCACAGAAATCGGAGGTCACGGGGTCTAGCAAGTCACCGAACAAAGGGAGATTGAGCGAGGGGATCACTCAGTAAGGTAGGAACTTGGTGGTTGAGAGTGTGGGCTCTGGACTCAGGAGGATCAACCTTAAATCCTGGCTCTGCCTCTAATTGACTGCATGCTGGAAGGCATGCTGGAAGTACCACAGAAATCGGAGGTCACGGGGTCTAGCAAATCTCGTCCTTTAGGGGTCAACCAGGTTGTAGGCAGGGGATTGGATTAAGGGTCAGTCCCCTGGGTGTGGTCTCAACTGTGGCTCTCCACTCCCTACCCCAAGCTCTAATGCCTTAGGTCTCTTTCAACCTTGGGTGCCCCCTCACAGCTCCATCTTGGAGCTACAGATGCCCACTGGGCACTGGTCTAGCTTGAGGGCTTGCCTCTCCTACACCCATGTCCAGCTTCACTTCTCTCTGAAGCATCAGGTTCTGTGATGGTGGTAAAGGGTCCTGGGTAAATTAGGCCCCTGAACCCTGGATGGTGGAGGACGGGGAGTGTTGATGTTGAGCATGTGGGGATGCAAGAATAGGACACCCAAATGGGAGCAGCCTTTGGAATGTGGAATCTCACTTCCCTCTTTGGAAAGACAGGTTGAGGGGAGCTGAGTGAATACCTAGTACCAATGTGCACCTGGAATCTGGGGCTGATGTCTGTTTCATTCAGGATCTTTGAAACTGCTGGTTCAGAATGCAAGAAGGACTTCCTGAAAACCAGGGCTAGCACTGGGGAGGATCCTGGGGCAGATGCCTTGATGGGAGCATTCTAACTTGACTTGGGGAAGGAGTGCCTGTCTACTTGAGGCTGCCAGGTGCCTAGACTGAGATGACCTCCTAGATCTCCTTCTTGGGCTGTAGGCAGCAGAGGGCATCAGCTTTGGATCCTACTCTTTTCACATGTGCTTGTACATCTGTCCATGCTCAGCCACACTGACCCAGATTCATACTAGCCCATATGTTCTCATGCCCCCATATGCACATTTATGTACATGCTAACACATGCACACATGCTATACCACCACATGTACAATACATGTATAAGCTTATGCATGCACAGGTCCACCTTTGGACACTCAGATGCACATATACTAACTTGCACATGGGCACCCTGATGCACCCATGCATACATTAACACCATGTACACACACACAGTAACAAATGCACACACATGGGCAAACCCACAGCCACTTGCTCTTCCATCAGTGAATTTGCGTGTATGTAAACTGTGTCTCCCATGAAGATAGGGGTATCTTTGTTCAATGTCAAGTGCCCCAAGAGAAGAGAGGTTTGTTCAACCTCAAAGTACCAAATGCTTGGTACTTCAGAGGTGTACAATACAGTATTGTGTGGAATATACTGAATAATTGTATAAGTGTATATAGAAATGAGTAACCTATGGTGAATAATAACCATAATAGTAAATGCCACCACCATTTATTGAGTACGAGCTATGTGCCTAACTCTGTGCTACTGGTACCATCTTATCTGAGCCTCATATCAACTTATGAGGCAAGTACTCTTATAATTTCTGCTTAGGCCTTTGGTAACTCAGGCTACGAGAAACAGTCATTACCCGAATTGGTTTGCCAACGCTCCCATAACAAAATAGCACAGACTGGGTGGCTTACAGTTCTGGAAACCAGATGTACAAAATCAAGGTCTTGGTAGCACCCTTCTGAGGGTTCTGAGGGAAGAATCTGTTGAGGCCTCTTCCCTTGGTTTGTGGATGGCCACATTCTCCCTGCATCTCTTCACCTTGTCTTCCCTCTGTGCGTATCTGTGTCCAAACTACCCCTGCTTATAAGGACACCAGTCATATTGATTAGGGCCCACACCAAATACCTCATTTTTTTTTTTTTGAAATGGAGTTTTGCTCTTGTTGTCCAGGCTGGAGTGCAGTGACTCAATATTGGCTCACTGCAACCTCCACATCCTGGGTTCAAGCGATTCTCCTCCCTCAGCCTCCCGGGTAGCTGGGATTACAGACATGTACCACCACACTCAGTTAATCTTGTAGTTTTAGTAGAGATGGGGTTTCTCCATGTTGGTCAGGCTGGTCTCGATCTCCTGACCTCAGGTGATCTGCCCACCTTGGGCTCCCAAAGTGCTGAGATTATAGGCATGAGCCACCATGCCCAGTCAAAGACCTAATTTTAACTTGAATTTCTCTGTAGAGACTCTATCCCCTGGCCGGGCGCAGCGTTTGTGTGTGTGTGTGTGTGTGTGTCCTGGTGGTTGCCATCTGATGCTATTATTTCCTGCTAGCAGGTGGGCATATAGAGCCTGCTTGCATGAAGGAGTTGGCCCCTATTTGCCCTGGCTCACTGGTGCACTGGAAGATTTCATGCTCTTTCTGTCGTGGCATGGGCACCCAGAGCCATCCGCCAGGACTGTGGTGGCCAATACTGACCAGCCAACACTGATAGGAGTGCCTAGAGGGGGACTTGGGGACCAGGGAGCTGCTGACTCCCCCTACTAGCCATCATCTCCAATGCTGCAGCCTCATTTCAAAGGCTTAGCTTATTCAGGTGAGAAGCTGGAGCCATCTTGGAGGTGGATAGGGGCAGTCACGAGGCCTTCCTGCATTAATTGGGGCAGCTAAGGCATAGCAGGCCTGTGCTGACCTTTGTCCATAGCCTGAACCTCTCCTTGTGCCGTACAGGAGGCAGGGAGGTTGGACCTCACCCCTGTTGCTCCTCTGAGCTTAGCTGGAGGCCTAAAAAAGAGCCCTGGCTAAGGTGGGGAGACAAAACACCTGGTCTGATGGGGAGATGCAGCCTCAGTTCTAAGAGGAGCAGGGGCTTGGGAGGGATTTTTCAGTCTGAAAAGTCCCAGACTCTCTAAGCCTCACTTTACTCGTCTAGGAAGTGGGGATGACGGTATAGTCAGCTGTGAGGGTTCCAGAAATTATGGTGTGGAAGACCAGGGACCAGGATCCACATGGGTATCTTAAACCATGCATAGCCACAGCAGTCAGGGGGATGATGATGATGACGATGATGATTATGGGTAATATTTACCGGGCACTTGCTAGACCTCAAGCTAAATGCTAAGTGCATTCTTTACCCAATTATCTCAGTTAATCCTTTTGTTTTTTTCTTCCTGAGATGGAGTTTCGCTCTGTTGCCCAGGCTGGGGTACAGTGGTACGATCTCGGCTCACTGTGGCCTCCCTCCTCAAGTGATTCTCAAGTGGTTCAAGTGATTCTCCCTCCTTAACCTCCAGAGTAGCTGGGACTACAGGCATGCACCCTTATGTCTGAGTAACTTTTTTTCTTTTTGAGATAAAGTCTCGATTTGTCATTCAGGCTGGAGTGCAGTGGTGTGATCTCAGCTCACTGCAACCTCTACCCCCCAGGTTCAAATGATTCTCCTGCCTCAGCTTCCCAAGTAGCTGGGACTACAGGCACGCACCACCATGCCTGGTTAATTTTTATATTTTTAGTAGAGGTGGGGTTTTATTATGTTGGCCAGGCTGGTCTTGAACTCCTGACCTCAAGTGATATACCCGCCTTGGCCTCCAAAAGTGTTGGGATTAAAGGTATGAGCGACTGCGCCTGGACTAATTTTTGTATTTTTAGTAGAGACAGGGTTTCACCATGTTGGCTAGGCTGGTCTCAAACTCCTGAACTCAGGTGATCTGTTCACCTCGGCCTCCAAAAGTGCTGGGATTACAGACATGAGCTACCATGTCTGGCCTTAATTGTTCTAAGAAGTCTGGGAGGCAGCTTTCATTATCATTGTTACTATTATTCTTAAATATGAAATGCTTCACAAATTTGTGTGTCATCCTTGCGCAGGGGCCATGCCAATCTCTGTGTCATTTTAATTTTAGTGTATGTGCTGCTGAAGTGAGCACTATCATTGTCATTTTATAAATGAAGAAACAGACCTGGTGCAGTGGCTCATGCCTATAATCTCAGCACTTTGAGAGATTAAGGGGGTGGGGGGTGGATCATGAGATCAGGAGTTTGAGACCAGCCTGGCCAACATGGTGAAACCCCATCTCTACTAAAAATACAAAAATTAGCTGGACGTGATGGCAGGTGCCTGTAATCCCATCTACTCGGGAGGCTGAGGCAGGAGAATTACTTGAACTCAGGAGGCGGAGGTTGCAGTGAGCCAAGACCGCACCATTGCATTCCAGCCTGGGCAACAGAGTGAGACTCTGTCTCAAATGACTAAATGAATGAGGAAGGAAGGAAGAAAGGAAGGAAGGAGGGAGGGAGGGAGGGAGGGAGGGAGGAAGGAAGGAAGGAAGGAAGGAAGGAAGGAAGGAAGGAAGGAAGGGAGGAGGGAGGGAGCCAGGCATGGTGGCTTACCCCTGTAATCTCAACACTTTGGGAGGCTGAGGCAGGTGGGTCACTTGAGCTGATGAATTCAAGACCAGCCTGAGCAACATGATTGATGATTTGGCTGTGTCCCTACCCAAATCTCAACTTGAATGTATCTCCCAGAATTCCCATGTGTTGTGGGAGGAACCCAGGGGGAGGTAATTGAATCATGGGAGCTGATCTTTCCCTTGCTATTCTTGTGATAGTGTATAAGTCTCCTGAGATCTGATGGGTTTATCAGGGGTTTCTGTTTTTGCTTCTTCCTCATCTTTCTCTTGCTGGTGCCATGTCCTCATCTTTCTCCTGCTGGTGCCATGTAAGAAGTGCCTTTTACCTCCCACCATGATTCTGAGGCCTCCCCAGTCATGTGGAGCTGTAAGTCCAGTTAAATCTCTTTTTGTTCCCAGTTTTGAGTATGTCTTTATCAGCAGTGTGAAAACGGACTAATACAGTAAATTGGTACCAGGAGTTGGGTGTTGCTGAAAAGGTACCCAAAAAAATGTGGAAGCAACTTTGGAACTGGGTAACAGGCAGAAGTTGGAACAGTTTAGAGGGCTCAGAAGAAGACAGGAAAATGTGGGAATGTTTGGAACTTCCTAGGGACTTGTCGAATGGCTTTGCCCAAAATGCTGATAATGATAGGGACAATAAGGTCCAGGATGAGGTGGTCTCAGATGGAGATAAGGAACTTTTTGGGAACTGGAGTAAAGGTGACTCTTGTTATTTATTTATTTTGAGATGCAGTCTTGCTCTATCACCAGGCTGGATGCAGTGGCGTGATCTTGGCTCACTGCAACCTCTGCCTCTTGGGTTTAAGCAATTCTCCTGTCTCAGCCTCCTGAGTAGCTGGGACTACAGGTGCATACCACCACGCTCAGCTGATTTTCATATTTTTAGTAGAGACACGGCTTCACCATGTTGGCCAGAAGAGTCTGATCTGCTGACCTCGTGATCTGCCTGTCTTGGCCTCCCAAAGTGCTGGGATTACAGGCGTGAGGCACCATGCCCAGCTTCTTGTTATGTTTTAGCAGAGACTGGTGGCATTTTGCCTTTGCCCTAGAGATCTGTGGAACTTTGAACTTGAGAAAGATGGTTTAGGGTATCTGGTGGAAGAAATTTCTAAGCAGCAAAGCATTCATGACGTGACTTGGGTGCTGTTAGAGGCATTCAGTTTTATAAGGGAAGCAGAGCATAAAAGTTTGGAAAATTTGCAGCCTGACTATGCGATAGAAATGAAAAACCCATTTACTGGGGAGAAATTTAAGCCATCTGCAGAAATTTGCATAAGTAGCCTAATGTTAATTTGCATAAGAAGCCTAATGTTAATTTGGCAGAATTTGCATAAGGAACCTAATGTTAATCCCATGATCATGGGAAAATGTCACCAGGCCATGTCAGAGGCTTTCCTGGCAGCCTTTTCCATCACAGATCCGGAGGCCCAGGAGGAAAAAGTGGTTTCTTGGGCCGGGCCCAGGGTCCCCATGCTGTGTGCAGACTAGGGACTTGGTGCCCTGTGTTCTGACTGCTCCGGCTGTGGCTGAAAGGGGCCAATGTACAGCATGGGCTTTGACTTCAGAGGGTGGAAGCCCCAAGTTTTCGCAGCTTCCATGTGGTGTTCAGCCTGCAAGTACACAGAAGTCAAGAATTGAGGTTTGGGAATCTCTGCCTAGATTTCAGAAGATGTATGGAAACTTCTGGATGTGCAGGCAAAAGTTTGCTGCAGGGGTGGGGCCCTCATGGAGAACCTCTGCTAGGGCAGTGCGGAAGGGAAACATGGGGTCAGAGCCCCCACACGGAGTGTCTGCTGGGGAATTGCCTAGTGGAGTTGTAAGAAGAGGGCCACTGTCCTCTAGACCCCAGAGTGGTAGATCCTCATACAGCTGGCACGATGCACCTGGCAAAGCTGCAGACACTCAACACCAGCCCATGAAATCAGCCAGGAGGGAGCCTGTACTCTGCAAAGCCACAGGGGTGTAGCTGCCCAAAACCATGGGAACCCACCTTTTGCATCAGCGTGACAAAGTGCCACAGGAGTCAAAGGAGGTTATTTTTGAGCTTTAAAATTTGATTGCCCTGCTGGATTTTGGACTTACATGGGGCCTGTAACCCCTATGTTTTGGCTAATTTCTCCCATTTGGAATGGCTGTATTTACCCAATACCTGTACCCCCATTGTATCTAGGAAGTAACTACCTTGCTTTTGATTTTTTTTTTTTTTTTAAGATGGAGTCTTGCTCTGTTGTCCAGGCTGGAGTGCAGTGGCATGATCTTGGTTCACTGCAGGCTCCACATCCCAGGTTCAAGTGATTCTCCTGCCTCAGCCTCCCAAGTAACTGAGACTACAGGCAGGTGCCACCATGCCCAGCTTATTTTTATATTTTTGTAGAGCTGAGGTTTCACCATGTTGGCTAGGCTGGTCTCAAACTCCTGATTTCAAATGATCCACTCACCTCGGCCTCCCAAAGTGCTGCTATTACAGGTGTGATCCACTGTGCCCGGCCGCTTGCTTTTGATTTTACAGGCTCATAGGCAGAAGGGACTTGCCTTGTCTCAGATGAGACTGACTGTGGACTTTTGGGTTAATGCTGAAATTAGTTCAAACCTTGAGGGACTGTTAGGAAGGAATGATCAGTTTTGAAATGTGAGGACATGAGATTTGGAGGGACCAGAAGCAGAATGATATGGTTTGGATGGGTCCCCACCCAAATATTAACTAGAATTTTATCTCCCAGAATTCCCATGTGTTGTCGGAGGGACCCAGGGGGAGGTAATTGAATCATGGGGGTCCGGTCTTTCCCATGCTATTCTCATGATAGTGAATAAATCTCATACGTTCTGATGGGTTTATCAGGGGTTTCTGCTTCTACTTCTTCCTCATTTTTCTCTTGCTGTCACCATGTAAGAAGTGCCTTTTGCCTCCCACCATGATTCTGAGGCCTCCCCAGCCATGTGGAGCTGTACGTCCAATTAAACCTCTTTTTCTTCCCAGTTTCAGGTGTGTCTTTATCGGCAGCATGAAAAGAGGCTAATAAAATGGCTAAACCCTGTCTTTACAAAAAATATCAAAATTAGCCAGGTGTGGTGGTACACACACAGGCCTGTGGCACATGCCTGTAGTCTCAGCTACTAGGGATGCTGAGGTGAGAGGATTGCTGGAGCTTAGGAGGTCAAGGCTTCAGTGAGCTGAGTGTGCCACCACTCCAGCCTGGCTGACAGCATGAGGCCTTGCCTCAAAAATAAATAAGTAAATGAAGAAACAGATCCACTGAGGTGGACTTGCTGAGGGTCACACAGCTGGAGAGTGAGAGAGTGGAGGTTTAACCCTGCTCTGAAGATTTCACTGGCTGGGTGCAGTGGCTCACGTCTGTAATCCCAGCACTCTGGGAGGCCAAGGCAGAAGGATCCCTTAAGCCCAGGATTCAAGACCAGCCTGGGAGACCCTGTCTTTACACAAATTGCAAAAATTAGCTGGGCATGGTGGCACTCATCTGTAGTCCCAGCTAGTTGGGAGGCTGAGGCAGGAGGATCTCTTGAGTCTGGGAGCTCCAGGCTACAGTGAGCTATGCTTGTGCCACTGCCCTCCAGCCAGGGTGACAGTGAGACCTTGTCTCTAAAGAAAAAAAAGGTTTCACAGTAGGCCCTGCAATTGTGTGAAGACAGGAATCTCAGGGTGGGGGTCCCAGGAATAAGGACTCTACCATGGCTGGAAATGGCCCTAGTTCTGGGGCCCCCACCCTCTGAGCCTATACCCAGTCCTCAGAGGTGGAGGCTGAGGAGTGTCTTTGTTAAGGTGAACCAGGCCCTAGCCTCTGGATATTTTTTTTTGGTGACGGCATTTCACTCTTGTCACCCAGGCTGGAGTGCAATGGTGCGGTCTCAGCTCACTGCAACCTCTGCTTCAAAGGTTCAAGTGATTCTCTTGCCTCAGACTCCCAAGTAGCTGGGATTACAGGTTCCTGCCTCCAGGCCTGGCTAGTTTTTGTATTTTAGTAGAGATGGGGTTTCACTATGTTGGCCAGACTGGTATCGAACTCCTGACCTCAGGTGATCCTCCTGCCTCACCTTCCCAAAGTGCTGGGATTACAGGCGTGAACCACCAAGCTTGGCCTGCCTCTGGATTTTTTTTTTAAACAGAATTTTGCTGTCCCCCAGGCTGGAGTGCAGTATCATGATCTCAGCTCACTGTAACTTCTGCCTCCTGGGTTCAAGTGTTCTCCTGCCTCAGCCTCCTGGGTAGCTGGGGCTACAGGCATGTGCCACCACGCTCGGCTAATTTTTGTATTTTTAGTAAAGATGAGGTTTCGCCATGTCGGTCAGGCTGGTCTCAAATTCCTGACCTCGTGATACCCCCGCCTTGGCCTCTCAAAGTGCTGGGATTACAGACGTGAGCTGGACCGTGTTGGTATTCTTTATGTTAGAGGCAGGTGTCTTCAGGTCATTTGAGAACAGAAGTCCTTTTTGATTCCCTTCCCGAAGCCTGGGTTGCCGCAAACGTGAGACTAAGGACAGGTTAGGGGAGGGTGCAG